TATATTTAATAGTTCATCACTAAATCACTCTTCATCTTCTTCTTCTGTTTCTTCTTCTTCTTCTTCTTCCTCTTCATCTTCTTCTTCATCTTCTTCTTCTGTTTCTTCTTCTTCTTCCTCTTCATCTTCTTCTTCTTCTTCATCTTCTTCTTCTGTTTCTTCTTCTTCTTCTTCTTCATCCTCAGGAGATCAGGCTGCAGTAAAGGGAGCCTCAGAGTTTGTGGAAACTTCCCAGCATGCACCTGTTGGAGCTGGTTTCATCATGTGTCAGTAATGAGACCCAGAGGACAGAGTCTGTGTGGACGTCTGGACACTAGAGGACAGAGTCTGTGTGGACGTCTGGACACTAGAGGACAGAGTCTGTGTGGACGTCTGGACACTAGAGGACAGAGGCAGCTTCACTAATGACCAATTAACAGCAGCAGGGACGATGGGAGGACACGCTGTGACCTGGCGTCTCCCACAGGAAGGTGAGTGATGTCGCCGTGGTTTCACTGACCATCAGTCATGACTTGAAAAAAAAACAAAAACCTACGTCTGAATTTTGGTTCGATGTCTCCGAGATGTGTTTTGACGTCATGTTTGACGAGAGACGGTTGATTGTTGACGGACAGGCCTCCGATTATTTCGTTCTTTTCGTTCTTGGTGAAAGAGAAAAGTCAACGCGGCTGAAATGGGCTTGTTTTTGGCTCCATGCGTCAGAGACCCTCCTTCTTCATGATGTCACTTAGTTCTTAGCGTGTGCAGCAGTTTGATCATATGAAGAAGGTGATAAACGATCTGGTTTATTCTGGAACTTTGTGGTGAAGATTAGAATTTAACCATCGGATCAGTTTCCAGCACAAACGTATAACTTTCATTTCTGATTCTGAGGCGATGGGCCCCTGGACACTGACATGTGACAGGGCCCCACCCCCCTTCAGGGGCCCGGGGCCTGCACCCAGTGGGCCCCTTCACTTTTACCTCCAAGATACCAACTTCTCACTGTAGTAGGGCGAGCAGCAGGGGGCGCAACAGTGGGCCATGAGTCGTCGTCAGGGACGTGACTCATTTAACCAGCAGATGATTTTTCCCTTTAACGCCAAAGTTTGTGGAGTGTCCTCTAAAATAATAAAATAT